TAGGTTATGTGTTGAAGAAGTCAAACATGGAACAAGGAGAAAAAATAGTCGCAAAAATGTTTGCTACCCACGCATAGAGTGCTCGAACGCCTTTTTCAAAACCTCCATCACTCGTTAAATGTGCACCAGCGCTCGAGCAGTGGATTAATCGCTTGCGATCGTGAAGACATGCACTTGAGCACTAGTGTCATTTGGCGAAATCCTAATTCATGATTTCAACAGCGAAATCCTAGTTCATGATTTCAACAGATTTTACAATCACATACAATCTCAAACTCTCCATATTATAAATACCCAAATCATACTTCATATCCATGATCGGTTAATTAATTATCTATACAAGAGAACGTCGTTTGAATATCAAAAGCATGTTTGAAACTTGTTTGAGCCACATTTTTTTTGTAAGAATGCATTTTGGAAAAGTAGATTGATGAAAAATGTGCAGTTAAAAAAATAAGGAAAAAATTGAATTTGCATGTAATATTATTTTATTGAAAAATGTGTTGTTGAAAATAAGAGAGAAAAAATGTATTTTGAAAATAATGGGAATCAAACAAGAACTTTATAATTCTCTTAATTCAACTACAAGATCAAAACATCAAAGACCAAATTCTTTACCAATAATACTTCAGAGTTCTGAAATTGGAGAGAGGCAACTGGAATTCCAATTAGAGAATAATGGGGTTCGTTCTCTGTGATCCATGCGGAGGGAATAGAAATCCAAAGCTACCGAAAAGTGCTAGAGGCACAATCGAAAAGATTCTTCGATGACTTACAAGTTGGACAGTCAGAGTCTATTAATGTTTAGTTGTGAGTGGACCAATTGTAAGTTATATTTTCTAGTGGATCCTTTTAATAAGGTTTTTCTGAAGGTTTTTTTATCCCTATGAAGAATTCTTCAAGAGATTTTCATTCGTTAACATATCTGGTGTTGATTTTACCTTTACAACTTTGACATGCATGATTGGTTGATTAATTGGGTTTAATATTGGTTAAATTTAATCATCTAGAAACAATAATTAGTAACTTATTGCTTTTTATTGATTACTAGTGTTGGTCCATGCGATGCATGGAATTTCTAATTTTGAAGGTTTCGTTTGCATTGGATATAGAATCTTTATTGAATAGTGTAGAAAGTTTAAATATGAGAGAACATTGAATAATTAAGAGGCATTTGGAGCAACATATTTTGTCAATAAT